TTTGTTCATTAATCACCCTCCTGTAGAACAGATTTGTTTTTGGCCTCTCTTTTCTATACTGGCCCTCATAAACCAAAAATACAGGTAGATGATCACTAATATCATTTATAAGTAATCCACTTGTCATTGTGCTTTCAATATCATTGGTAAATATATTATCTATTAGTGTCGCATGCTGGGTTGTTAATCTGCTTGGTTTTGTAATTTTTGGGTATAAACTGCATCTGTGTAATGTGTTAATAAACTCCTCCGTTCCTGTGTGCTTGTTAGGATTTAACAAATCAATGTTGAAGTCACCACATATAAACATTAATTTACTCTTTTTAGCCCTCTGCATCACTGACGGTGTGTGTGCACTGGGCCTGAGCCTGAGCCTGTGTATGTTAATGGTACTCCTTCTACAGTAGGTACACAAGAAAATCTGAGTGCAGGACTTTCATTCGTAACCATTTCTACGCTATGGTATTAGTCCTCTTATTAAAATAAACAATCTTCCACAGAGTAAAAGATAATGCAATACAGAAGTATGTAAAGGTTCTGCATAAAAATGGTGGCAGGCAGCTCCATTAAGAGTATTACACTTTTTAATAGTACTTTGTATTTAGTTACTGTCACTGATGCATTAAGACATACGCAGCGAGGTGCAGCTGTTGCTCAACCTTTACTGCACAAGTATTAATAAATAAAACTTTGTTAAAGAAAATGTGTAAGACATTTTCCAGCACAGAGTACTCTTTACTTTTAATACTTGAAGTAAACTTTCCAGATTATATTTACAGTAATGTTCTGAATGCAAGGCTTGTAACGGAGTATTCTCAGTGTTGTCATAGTACTTGTACTTCAGTAAAGGACTTGAGCACCACCTCACACAGTAAACATGATGCAGCTGACATGTTGAAATCCTCCGTCTGTTTTCCTGTCAGTTGTGCCTTTGGACAGAAAGAGGAAGAAAGGAGGAGAAGTCCAAGGAGGAACAGAAAACATCAGCTGGCAGAAATAGGAAGTGACATCACACATCTATTCCTGGGAGTCTCGTGGAGTTTAAATGAAACCGGATGAAGGAACAGAAGAAAGTGTGAAAATCATAAGGGAAACGGTATTAGAGATGATTTCGTAAAGACGGGATGGTACGGGTTTTAACCGGGGTCCTCACAGTCCAGGGTCCTCACAAACACAGGCATGTGCACACACCGTTTCATTTCACATAAACTCTTTATTACAAAATAATCAGACCATTATATTTGAACATTTTCTATACAATAGCTGAATAATAAAATAAACAACTAAATGTAACAAACATTGAATCTGAATCAATATACAGATTGTCCTCTTTTTAATGCAAATGCATCACTTCCAGGCTCAGTGAGGTCCCTGAATCAATATACAGATTGTCCTCTTTACAGCAAAATAAGGTTCAGTTTATTTCTATGAGCTAAACCTACAGAGACTCAGACCTTAGAACACGTGTAGTTATTTGGACTTCTAATAAAAAGAATAAAAAAAAAATCTTGTTGGTGCATTCAGGAACAGTTGGAGATTTGATCAGCTCTATAAGCTCTGTTGGCAGAACATCAAAATCAGATTCAAAAACAAATCAGATGTCAGAGGGTCTTTGAATGCACCAGATCACAAACTAGATCTTCAATGTATGATTTTTGATACTGAAGACAAAAAAGTATGAAACTGAAATCAGCAGAATAATGGGTTTTTTCTCCAGTCCGGTGAAAACAATTTAACTTCAAATTATTTTTCAAAGTTAAACTGCCTTTTTATTAAACTGTCAAATATAAATGAATAATAAACACGTTTAAAGAGAATTTCACAGCACACAGATCATCCTTCAGCTGATGTGAACTAAACATGAAGATCTGTGGTTTTTACTGGCCACTGGTGACGTGGTGTCCGTTGGCCTGGTCTCGTCTGGTGGGGGGTGGAGAGCTGGTGATTCCTGAGAAGTGACTGGCTTGAGCTCCTGACCTGTCACTCATCAGCAGAGATCTCTGGAGAAACAGACAAACACTCATCACAGTCCTGGTCTGGATCCAAATCAGGATAAGCGCCCGTATTCACAAAGTGTCCTAGGCCTGAAGAGTCGCTCCTCGTGACAACATTCTAAGAAAATTATTAGAATTGTGTCGTTTTCTATGACTTTCCACTTAAAGTTGAGATTAAATCGTCGTAAAGGTAAAGGTAGGTACTTAAATTCACAAAGCATCTTAGCCCCTAAGAGAGCTCCTACGGTGAAAAGTAAGTAGTTAAGAGCGAGAGGAGGACTTTTAAGAGGCTTAATTAAACAGACAATGACATGAAGCAAACAGAAAAGATGAACAACAGTGAGTTCATCAAAAGCTACAGATCGTACAATGATCTCCGAGCTGCATTCACACCATCGCAATAAAGCCAGAAATTAAAGTCATCACAACATTAAGATATTTGGCAACTGAAAAATGAAACAGTGCAACAATGATGACCTGTTTCTGTGGCAGCTTCCCATCAGTATAGTGATCACACAATCTGTTACCGTGCTGTAATGTCTCGTATTGTTAAATTTCATTTCCACTGTACGTTCACACCTTGCAGACTCAGGGACACAGCCTATACACATCATAAATGAAGACAGTTTTCAGATATTTTCCCCTGTTAAAATAAAATAGATCAAGTGAATAAGTGTTAAAATTACCAGTAGATAATTAAATGGCTGCCTCGACTGCGCGCTCTCTCATGTATTTGCTGTTTTTCCTTGTTCTCAGTCTTCTGCAACCCATCCCTGATTACCTTCACCAGAGGAGAACTACTAAACATCAGACAACTCACTCTGAACACCTTTTCACTGATTGTTGCTAATGCAAAAAGCTGTGTGGCCCTTCTGGTCTGAGGGGAAGCAGCCCTCTGTGGGCCAGGGAGAGAAGACAGTGGGGGCCCTGGTTAAGTTGCAACCGAGAGGGACCCAGACGCCGCTCACGTCTATCCAACTAGCGAATAGTCACTCTCCAGCCAACAAAATGGATGAACTCCTCCTTGTCAACCAGACTAACTGACTTCTCATGCTCTGCTGCTTTATGCTTCACAGAGACTTGGCTCAGCGACTCCTTCTCGGACAACACAATACAAATTCTGGAGTTCCAGGCAAACAAAGCAGATCGTGTAACGGACTTTTCCGGGAAAATGAGAGGAGGCGATATCTTCTTCTATATAAATGAAGGTTGGTGTAAAGATGTCGCTGTGTTAGAAAGAACTTGCAACACAGATGTAGAGAGACTGTTCAAACCATTTTATTCTCCCAGAGAATTCTCGTCATTTATTCTGATTGGAGTGTAAATAAGACTGCAGGCCCATGCTGACGCACCACAGCACCTGGCCAAACAGAGAACTAGTGTGAAACTGAAAGATCCCGACTCCCCACTCATAGTTCTGGTGGATTTGAACAGAGCAAAACACACCCACGAACTGCCCAAATACAGACAGCATTCGAGTTGTCCCCCCAGGGGCAAAAACACACTGGATCGTAGACCCCTGCATTACTTTATTCTATAGGGGAATCATGGAGTCTGTTCTCTGCACCCCCATCACTGTCTGGTTTGGCCCTGCAACCAAACAGGACAGGAACAGACTCCAGTGGACAGTCAGGACTGCAGAGAAAATCATCGGTGCCAGCCTGCCCTCCAAGAGGGCAGAGAGGATTTCTGCAGACCCCTCACACCCTAGACACAAACTCTTTGAACTCCTCCCATCTGGATGGCACTACAGGTCACTATGCACAGAGACAGAGACAGGTTCTTTCCCTGGGCTATTACACTGATGAATAGCTAGTCCATGTTGCTCTTTTGTATATATTGTGTATTTATTTTGTTTTTATGTTTTGCACATTGGGGGCCATTGAGCTGGAGTCAAATTCCTTGTATTCTTGAAATACTTAGCAATAAAGTTTATGCTTACATCCAGCAACACCTCGACTCCCGGACCTATGCACGGGTCCCCTTTGTGGACTTCAGCTCGGCGTTCAACACCATCATCCCGGACATCCTCCACTCTAAACTGTGTGCCCTCTCTCTGCCTGTACATTTCTGCAGATAGCCCTAGCTCCAGAGCTCTCCAGGTCTGATGAGCAGGAAACTGAACTGAATTTAATTAAATACTATATGTTTGTCCTGTTCCCTGTTTGCCACTTATATACTAAGATGTTTTCTTGTGCTTTTATGGTTTGGAAAACTTCAAACTAATTTTAATTGCACTAAAAAGAAAGAGAATCTGTCTGTAGACGAGATGGCAGACGGCTGACCTCAGCAGCAAACAATCTAATCTAATCTGCTGATGGTGTTGTTCTTTATATACGTGCACACAAAGGATTTGTGTTTGGACTGCAATGTTGTGTAAAAAGCTGACTAAGGAAAAGAAGTTACAATGTGCACAAAAAGGCTGTTTCTTTAAAAAAGCTTTACCATTGCTCTCCTCCGTTTTCCTCTTTCTATGATGTTCTTCAATTCAACTTCCTCCTCATCTTCTTCTTCTTCCTCCTCCTCCTCCTCCTCTACCACCTCTTCGTGATCAGCTGAGCGGGGCAAAGTCTTCTCTGTGATTGGCTGTACAGTGGCTAGCAAAGCAGGGACAGTGAAGCAGGACAGGAAACGGGCCTTCAGCAACTGGTAGGCAGGGTTACTGGAGAAGCGTTCCGCCACCAGTTGACACACCACCGTCACAAGCTCCGCCTCCTCCTTCTCCTGGTCAGAGCTGACAGTGGGAGCTGCAAGGAAACAAAACAAACACACCTGAGAACATGCCACACACATACAGTGGGGGTACGGAAAGTATTCAGACCCCTTAAATTTTTCACTCTGTTATATTGCAGCCATATGCTAAAATCATTTAAGTTCATTTTTTTCTTCATTAATGTACACACAGCACCCCATACTGACAGAAAAACACAGAATTTTTGACATTTTTGCAGATTTATTAAAAAAGAAAAACTGAAATATCACATGGTCATAAGTATTCAGACCCTTTGCT